TACAAGGACTGATTTAGGAAATTATGTTTAAGACTTATTATTAAGAATGGAAGAATAGAGGGGTATTATAGTCTTTTAGAAGGAAATGAATTTAATATCCATTTCTTTTATAGATATTTTTAAGTGATGAATAGGGGATAAAGGATAAGGCAGGAACTTTGGTTCTCTATTATTCTTCTTCTTTTCCCCGTAACTCCATTGCTAAGGTAAGATATATTCAAGTTTGTTTTTCCTTACATTTTTGGGTTGGTTTTGAAGCCTTGAGTGATATAGAAGCTTAAGGAAAGTTTAAGGATGATTAAAACTAAAAGATTAGTGATTTATTAGTGATTTAATAAAATGGGTTTTTAAGTGATTTGATTAAATTTTGTCAATAATTAGATTTTAAAAGCATATTTGACTTGTCAAAGATGTAAATAAGAGATTTGGAGCCTTAAAAGTGATTGAAAACATGTTCGAGTATTTGGTGTGATTTTTAGTTTTAAGTGTTCTTTGGAGAATTTGGGTGTTATAAGGAGATTTATGAATGTAAGTTAGTAAGGATATGTGATAATGAGTTTGATGGTATGGTTGTAGATAAGAGTAACAGATTTAGGTGAAATTTGGGTAAAAATCGAAGTGAAATAAGTAAAATCTTTGTAAGGGTATCAGTACTGGAAGAATAGTACTGATACTATAAGGTTAAATTAGAGGAAAAAGTTTGAATATGATTACTGTAATTGAAAAATGGAATTCCAGAATGCGAAAATGGTATTGATACTGAAGTGGGTATTGGTACCATATAAGAGAAATATCGATACTGTAGGAGGGGCACGAATACTTTTCAGTCTGAAATTTTAAGTTGATGGTTTATTTCATCTATGTAAATGTGAATTTGTTAATATTTGATGTATACTACTTGAAATTTACTGGTTGAGGGCTTTAATGGAAGGATTTAGGACAATGGTCATTATGAATAAAAAAGGAAAAGTTAGGATGAATTTTAAAGAATTTGAAAATAATAATACTTTTGAGTATTATTATTTTGTATAAATGTTAGAAAGTATACTAACATTTTATTTTATATTGTATGTGTGAAATATGGATGCTTGGGTAGATCGTAATCAAATTCCTGAGACAAGCAAACAAAAAGGCAAAGATAAAGTCGCAGAATAGTCAGACAACATTAAGGCATAATATTGAGGTATACCAAGTGATTGCATTTATTATGTACTTATATGATATGAGGATGACTTGTGATGAGTCAACCTCGAATGTTTTTATAAAAAATATGTTTTAGAACATTTTGAAATATTTTCATAAAGTTTATGAAAATGATTTTACGAATAATTTTAGAGTATGAACTGCTCTAAAATAGATGGATGGACTTTTATATTGTTTTAACAACTATCGATGTTTCAGAATAAATGTTTAATCTGTGAATTTGATTTAAAGGCCTATTTTATGTGCATTGAGAGTCATAGATGCATTCGACATACTTTGTGTATGATGATTATCAATCGATTTTGTTTAATGCATATGTTGCATTTTCGTATCAGTACTATGTGTACTTTCGGCACTCTGTGTGCACCCATGGTATTCATAATGAGTTTGTGAATTACCATTTAGTTACCTTAGTATAGTGTTGTTGTCATTACAGAACCTATGCTTTCGTTTAGCACTTATGTGCAACTCATGTACCATGCATTCTCATTCAACATACATTGGGCAAATAAAATGATACTTTGGAAAAATATTGATTGATAGATATGTTGGGCATACTAAATATTGTTTCGCATGTTATGTGAAAGAAACTCGGTTTACCAAGCCAGTTTTATGTATTATTATGATTTATACGATTAAATTCACATTTTTGATATTTTATGATGTACTTATGTTTTGGTTATACCTCACTTATATTATTATGCCTCACTAAGTGAATACTTAGCTTGTGATGGTTTCACGCGTAGGTAATAGCATACGAGCGGAGTAAGGAGTGCAATTGATATCGTAAATTAGAGGTTGCCTCATCAGTAGCTGTATGGTGTTTATGTCTAATTTTGATATTATTAGATGGCATGTAATAGATTTATGATAATTCTATGGAATGTATTTGAATTATGATGTTGTAGTATTTACTATGTTAGAACTTTAAGGTTAATTTACAAACTATAGTTAATGAACATTTTTATTATTATTATTATATTAAAATATTTTATTTAAAGAAACAAAATTTTACTGGTTTTCAAATACGGAAATGTTTTTAAAAGTCATGTGGCATATGTGACTCATGTACGAGGACGTATACGGAAAGTGGGTGTTATGTAGTAGCAGTTGGCATGACAGGGGATTGGTGCAGACGAAGGTGGTCTGGGATTAGGCAACTGAGGCAGCGACAGAGTGGGGTTAGAGTTTGAAAACCCTAAAAAAATTAGGTACTGAGCCGGACCTGTTGGGCTCCGAATTTATCTTTGTTGGGCTCGGGTCTTGGGTGGATGACCCTTTGTGATTGGGGTCCAATTTGGGTTTTGTAATTGACCTGTATAAATAATAATAATAATAATAATAATAATAATTGTAGCGTCGGGATGAAAACGAGTGTCCATACTATTTGCATAAAAAATCACTATTCATGCACTCATTTTTTAAAAATAAAATTAATTTATATCATATGGGATAAATGTATATCCTATAAATAATGTTTTTTAAATAGTATAATTGGTGAAATATATTTTTGTCTTATATGACACGTATAATTAATAAATTAAAATATTTTAACAAAAAAATACTTTTAACGAATTATTTTAATATTTAATTCATATGTTTATAGTAATGTATTTTGGATTCATATCTCAAGGTAAGTACCGTGATTTTATTTTTCTAATTATTGGTATTTTAATTAAATATATCTTTTTATCATTAATATAATATAGTTTTATTAAATTCATTGAGTGAATTTAGTGGTAAAAGATAATGATTTTTTAATTTTTTCGAGTTCGAGTAATCGTTTATTTGCAAGATGCATGTGCATTATCAATAATTAAGAAAAATATATATTAAAAATAACATTAAACTAAGAAATGGTATTATATTAATATAATTTTTTGTTTAATTAAAAATACTTTTAACTAAAAATGATTGATACAAAATAACCATGTGAACAAAGTATTATTATTTAATAAAAACATTTTTTATTAAATGTATTTCTTAATTAAAATATTTATACTTTTTTCTCTTTAATCTAGGTGATTACAATAATATCATTTATTTTTGAAGACTCTCAATCATTTCACTATGAACGTTCAACTATCATACAATCATTGGTGTTCGAACTCAAAACTTTAATAGTAATTTTTTAATTATTAATATCGACTTAACATAAATAAATATTATATTCATAAATAATCTGAGAGGGTGACTTTAAAGAACGTTATTGGAGTAAATAAGCCACATACGGTCAAGTTGGCTTGCAATTTCCTTCAACGTTAATCCTTTTTATTTATAATATTTATTTGACTCCTAAGATAAACCTTTGCCAATATGATAGATTTTTTTATACATAAATTGAAAAAATAATTATCTTCCTAATACGTCAGCTCGTAAGATGGATAATTAACTAATTAATTAAAATAATACATAATAAAATAGTTAGAAAAACGTCAAGCAGAAAGGTTCAATTTAGAATACAAATGAAAATAACGTTTTTTTTTTATTGTAAAGACAGCAAAGTTACATTAAGCTCTCATGTAAAGGGGACCATAGCAATCACGATTAAGCAGATCCAAGATAGACACCGAGGGCTCTGTGTAAACGTGCCGACCAGCAAGAATATCAACTTGGGAGTGAGCAAGGGCATCAGCGAATCTCTTTGCTTCTCGGGGTATCCATTAGACACTGGGGGCTCTGTGTAAACGCTTTTTGTTTATTTATCTTCGTATATGATACAATTTCAACTTAAAATGTTTTAAAAATATATTTTGTGAAACTTATTATGTATAATTTATTTTCATATTATTATTATTAAATTTCTAACTGAAGTGTAGTAATAAAATTTATGTATTTTTTTAATAATTTTTTTCTAACTTAAAGTATATATATATATATATATATATATATATATATATATATATATATATATATATTCACGTAAATTTATATAAACATATGGCATATGTTCTATTAAAGCACAGTGGGTCAAACTTAGTGTATTGATTAAATTATCATCATTCATCAAACAACAAAATGCTTTCATTGGCGTGGGTGCCTTCTAGAGCTTCACCAAAGCATTTATGGATAAATTAAGTAAAAAAGTTGTAATGGTTATGCATATTTAATTTGAGTTTTCTTTTTTGTGAACTTTTTTTCATATTCAAAAAATAAATTAAGAATTTATCAAATAATATATTTTCCAATATGTTGTATTACTGAGATCATTTTTATTTAGAAATTTTATACGTTGATTTGATTATAAAAATTTATCAACAACGAGTAGATGGTCAAAAAGTCCTCTGTCCATATTTTTTTCTCTCTTTTAAATGAAAATTGTTCAAAAATGTATTTTTCCTTAAAAAATTAACTTATTGGACCTATAATTTTAGTTCAAAATAATTCAATATTATTCAAATTTAATAGTAATATCTGATTTTTTTGGTTTCAAAAATTAGTTTTTTAATTTAATAAAAAATATTTTTTAAAATATTTATTTATTATTAAATTTTCTAAGTTTCAATATATATAAAAGCAATTAAGTAATTACTGAATACATTGGTAGCAGATATTTTAGACTTGATGATTATTAAAATTTAAAGCATTTGCAAGTTGTGATAAAATGTAAAACAGGAGGGAAGAGTCAACGTTCCAGTGCCAGGTAGAACATAATTCTTAGTAAAACAAAGGGTACTTTTGTTATTAATGGGAAAAAGGAAGGGCAATTCCACATTTTCTTGCACTGCCTTCTTTCAATTACTCCTTTATAAACCTCAAACTACAAAATACTCTGCTCCCAAGACGAAATACTCGGGCTGTTTTTAATTAAAACACAGAAAAACACAAACGCAATGGCTGGCTCTTCCGCATCGCCACCAGTACTAGGACGCTGCACAGCAGGCATCACCACCGTTGATCAGAACAGCGAAGCAGCAATCTCTATCGTCCATCAAGACATCATTGAGACCCACATATTGACCCGGCTTGACGGCCCAACTCTCTCATCCGCCTCCTGCGCCTCTGCCCACCTCAATGCACTCGCATCGCAGGAAAACCTCTGGACCAACATCTGCCTCTCTACATGGCCTTCCATCGCCTCTCCACGTGTAAGCCACGTCTTCTCTAAATTCCACCAGAGCTCCCGCTCCTTCTTCTCGGACGCGTTCCCATTAGCCATCGAACCAGCGACCTTAGGCGACTCGTCGGAAAATCCTAACCTTCCATCGGAATTAATCTCTGCCGTTGATGTATATTACAAGAAGGAGCTGATTTTCAGTAAAGTCGTCGAAACGGAAACTGTAAGCGCTTGGTTCAACAGCTCACCGTTCCGGGTTGATTTATTGGATCCAAAAGAAGCTGTTTCGACCCGGATACCAAACCCGGATAAGGACGACACGTATAGGGATCTGGAAGAAGATATGGAGTTGAGTTGGATCATGATCGACCCAATCGGAAAACGGGCGATGAATCTCTCGAGTCAGAGACCGGTTACCGTACACCGGCACTGGCTGAGCGGGGAGGTGCAGGTGAAGTTCGCGTCGGTAATAGCCGGAGGAGGAATTGGGGCAGCGACGGAGTGGGTGCAGTGCGAGGTGGTTGTCACGTGCGGGGGGTCAGCTGGAGGGGAGATGCACGTGAGGGAGGTGAGTTTACAGTTGGAGGACATGGATGGGATGTACCTCAGTGGGAAGGATAGTTTGGGAATTTTGAAGAGAGGATTGGAGGGCAAAAGAGGAAAAGGGAAGAGGAGGGAAATGGAAAGGAAGAAGGAAGTAGAGGACTTCTTGGAAAGGAAAAGAGGGAGAACAGAGAGGAGAATGAAGAGGGAAGGGACTCTCGATATGCTATGCGTTGCGTTTGGGGTTTTGGCGTTTGTTTCTTCCGCCTTATTTTTTTTTTAAATAAAATTTTTCAACATGTAAAACTCCATTAAAATATTAACCTGTAAATTAAAATCATGACGAATGAAACAAAGGATTAACAAATTAGCAACTCAAACTACTTTATACATCAATATTTATATATTCTATTAAGTGATCAAAATGTAAAGTGTTCAAAATGTGAAGTGTATAAGTTGTGTTCAAAATGTGAAGTGTATAAGTTATCGATGATTAAAAAGAATTTAAATAAATATTATCTTATAATCACTTTAAACTATTAAAAAAATAACAATAATAAATTAGTTTAAGGAGTCTTAATAAATCAAAACTTATCATATGAGTGTTGATGACTATAACAATGATGTTCTTGTTAGAGATGGCAATCAGATCATTTGGATTGAATTTATGTTGGAACTTATCGGGGTCTAGACTATTTTAGTTTTGATGGGATAGAATTTGATTTAAGTTTAGTTCGGTTCTATAGAAATTCAGTTTAAGTTGAGTATCAGATCATGTCAAAATTGGATCAATTAGTTTTTAGGTTTGATTAATATCAGATAGTTTATCTTTGGGTTAGGTCAATATTAGATCAATTGATTTCAATTACAGTCAACCATTAAATTTTTTGGTCAATTTAGGTCAACCTTTAGAATTTTAAATCAATCTTTAAATTTTCAGGTAAACCGTTGTCGCACTTTATCATCATAATTTTCAATATTTCTCTTTATTACTTATAATTCAAGAATTTATGTGAACATATATTGTCACATCTCGAATTCAAAGCTATAAGTTTTAGTTTTAGTTTATCGAATTAATAAATCTTTAAAATTAATAATTTTATTTAAATATATATTTTCACCGTCTAAATTCAGAGCTAGAAGTCATTTTATCAAATATAGAAATGATCTTTTAACTGAGAAAATATTATATTAAATCATTAGACTAAAATTATTGTTAGAAGCGGTGGTTAACTAGTACTATAATATTAAATGATCAATTATTTGGTTAAAATCGGATCGAAATTTGGCTTGGGTCAAATATAGACAAACTAAATTCGGGTTGCTTTCGATGTTTTTGGTTCAAATTAATTTTGGTATGAGTTGTTTTAGATCTAACTAAAATTTGGGTCGGTTTTGATTCAATTCAAGTTATTTAGAGTTTTAGATCAATTTTAAATCATTATATTTGGATGTATTTCAAATTTCAGATTTGATAGATTAATTCAAATAATTAGATACAAGTCAAATTTATCAGATCTAGATGTTAATATTTTCGTGGGTTTTTATTTTATTTTTTATCATTTGAAATATATATATATATATATATTTGCTCAGCAAAAGATTTTATTTAATGATAAATACAGAAAAAGAGTAGTCTCAACAAAGTAAATGATATAAAACGGAAGGACCCTTTTCTTTGATACAGCACACCCAGTTTATAGCATACAAATTGAAACAAAACTAAAAAAAAAAACTACACTATAACAGGAAACTCAAGACCCACACTAGTTCTACCACCATGCTTTGAACAAAACAGGTCTTGTTATTCCTTCTTTCGCTAGATTATCGGCCACAGCATTTAAATATCTCAGGGTATAGAAGAAATGAATATGAGAGATTGCCCAGGTTTGCTGGAAAACCGCTCCACCACTTCCAAGGACGCATTAACGAGAAAACGATCAAGTTTAGAACAACTTGACAGTCCTATTCTATCACTAAGGGAGTTTTTCCTACCCAACCCGCTTCGACAAAAACTGCAAGAGTAGTTTCAATTGCTTTAAGTTCAGGAAACTCTGGATCAGCTCCCTCCACTGGGCCCGACAACATGGCTCTCACCTCGGCCACCTCCGTTCTCAGAACCCCGCCACAACCTGCCGCACTTCGGTTAGTAGCCCCGTCCACATTAAATTTTACAGACCCCGACTCAGGTGGACGCCAGATCGTACTCTCTTTGACACTATTAGGCCGCAAAATGCATTTCCTCGGGAAACACCACCAATTCTCATATGAAATTAAAACTACCTCGCTAGCCGACTTTAACCAAATTAGTCTGTCGTGCGTGGTCATGCTTATCGTTTCTTTCTCTATTAACAGCTTCAACTCTTCAAGGATTGCTTCCTCTCGTGGCAGGAGTTTTCTCGAAAATAAAGAATGCCAATTTAAAGTTTGAAGGCTCAAATCTCCCACAATTGAGTTTATTATTTCACCTTTTCTTCTCCAAAGTCTATAAAGGTGAGTGTACTTTACCAAAAGGGAAGCCTCACTACACCAGCAGTCTTCCTAAAACATAATCGATCTCTCATTCCCTAGCTTCCAACAAAATGCTTCTTTGTTCATCCATTTTATTCACCTCCCTTGCTTGGAGGTTCCTAATTATGCCTTTCCAAATTGCCGATATTTTTTTATTACCCTCGATTCTGACCCCCGTAAGCTCACTATCGTCATACTTAGCGCTAATTACCCTTCTCCATAGGACGTTCTTTTCCAACTGGAATCTCCAATCCCATTTTGCAAGAAGCGCTCTATTTTTTAGCTTGATATTGATTACACATGCTCCGCCTTTTTTCTTCGAACTGCATAGCTTTGAGTGACGGCTATAATTGTACACGTGCCAAAAGCTGTTGCTAAACTGGTTGCACTAGGTGGTTAAGATGGTGTGAAGTTGTTAGGGTTGTTAGTCTGTTAAGTTGCTGCTTAAGCAAGCAACCTATATGATCTTTACAGTGCTATATATAGAGCACTATTGTTTCCTTGTAAGTAATCTTGTTTTGTTAGTCAAATAAGTTCTTTAAGTTTTCTTTCAAGTTTCTCAATATGGTATCATTTGCTGAAGGTTCTGGTTCCTAGTTTCCGTCTGCGGTGATGGTTCTTGACAGTTCGACTCTCTCTTCAGCCACTGGAGATAGTTCTGTGGTGCGGTCCGTTTTGTTCAGTAACAAAAAGGTAAATGTTGTCTTGGACAAGATGAATTTCTTGCTTTGGAAGCAGCAGGTGCTGCTCACGGTTCGCAGTCATCGCCCCAAACGAAATATCTTCTTAACTTATCAATCTTTAATAATACTGACTTGGGCACTTCAAAAAGGGATAGGTAATAGAGGGGTAGAGCTGCCAATACATCGTTTTCTAACACGATCCTCCCTGCAAAGGATAAAAAAAAATGACTCTTCCAACCTGACAGCTTTTAATGGAACCGCTCTATCACCGGATCCCAAGTAGAAGCCTTCCTTGGGCCTGCTCCTAGAGGGAACCCCAGATAATTAAAAGGGAGCGACACTTTTTGGCAATCGCAACGCTGAATAAGGGAATCCACTTCATTTTCATTCATATTAATACTGATAAAACATGATTTCTTAAAATTTATCATTAAACCCAAGTAAACTTCGAAGCTTCTCAATATTCGTTTCACATTCTACAGTTTGCGCTCACTTGGCCTAAGAAATAAGATGGTATCGTCCGCAAATTGTAGATGGAAATCGACATCCCAGGGACTATGCTATTTATGCCTCCTGTGACACAACCTTCTCGAGCAGATTGTGTAATGCCTTCGTGACAAGGATGAAGAGAAATGGGGAAATTGGGTCCCCCTGTCTTAATCCATTCTTCATGTAAAATTCTTTTGTTGGAGACCCCTTCAGCAAGATTGGGACTCTAGCAGTAGAAACGCATTGTAACATCCACCCTCTCCATTTGGCTCCAAAACCCATCTTTTCGAGTATCATTAGTAGGAAGTCCCAATACACGCAATCGTACGCTTTGGAATATCTACCTTCCCGAGATAAACGCACATTGCATGTCACTCACTAGTACATTCATTACCTCTTTCAGTCTTTCGGATAGCACCTTAGAGAGGATTTTTGTAGGCAGAATTTATCAAACTGATTGGCCTGAAGTCCGATAGGTTGCTCGGGTTCCTTGATTTAGGAATAAGGGCTATGAATGAGGTATTGATTTTGCCCTTAATCTGACGGTTGCAAAAGAAATCCTTAAATACACACATAAGATCGTTTTTTATTGAGCTCCAGCATTTTTTTTATTATAAAAACTTATGTTAAAACCATCTGGGCCTGGGGCCTTCGAGTCATAGCAGCTCCAAACCGCCTTCTTTATCTCCTCTAAAGTAAACGACTTTTCTAGAGTTGCAGCTTCATCTTCTGATAAATGTTTGAAGTTTAGATCCCACAGTGTATTCCAGCTTTTCGGTTGGCAACTAAAATGGTTTTCGAAGTGCCCAAGAACCTTTTCTTTCAGACTCACTGGATTATCAGCACCTTGAACTCCAAGATTTGCCCCATAAATTACTCCTTTTTTGCCCTTAACTTCATCACCCGATGGAAGAACACCGAATTCTTGTCTCCGTCCTTTAACCACGAGATACGCGCTTTTTGTCACCCTAAACCCCAATAATATAACTAATGTGGTATATATTTACATAAATTTAACTAAATCTTCTGTCCAAATTCAACAGTGAGTATTAGAGATGGATCAAGGAGACAGATGAGAATAATCACTCCTAAAAATTTTAAATTCTCCTATATTTTAATTATTTTATATTTTTATTTTGTTAAAATTTTATAAATTTATTTTAATTTAAAATTTATAAATTTAATCTTTAATATAAATTATAGTGTCCATCCTCAATTGACAGTGAGATTATGACGGGTGGTATTACTTATAGAATAACAAAGTTGGCAATGATGATGATAAATTCTTTAATATTGATTATATTATTATATATAATAAGTTGTAGCCCACTTGTGTGTATGAATGACTTCTCAACAATAAAAAAATCGATTTATCTGTATATAAAAAAAGCGATGAAATTAATCTCATAATTAAATAATAAAAATAATTTTAAACCTCTGAATGCCTAACTTTTTTACTTTTATCCCCTTTTTTTTTTTTGGGTGAAATAAGGACATAAAACATTCTAGCTATTAACTACTACACATTATTTACTATGTATCGGTTCTACAGCTACCAGGGATGTTGAGAAACTTTGACCCCAAAATTATCGATGTGGGTTATCTTCGTCATAAAATCAACCACTCTATTATTTGTTCGATTAACAAAAGAAAACGAGGCTAACCATTATCTGTTTAGCAGCTACTGATGTGCTGTAAAATGGTGGGTGAAACTGGTTTCGGCACAACTTGTTTAAATTCCGGAAGACTTCGTTATTATCGAGTATGACGCGACATGCTCCCATATTCCATGCATTGTTTAAACCTTCCAAGACCCCTCATAGTTCAACTTCAAGTACTGAATAGATTCCGACAGCACTAGCAAAGCCTAAAATCCATTCTCCGCGACTGTTCCGAATTACTCCCCCACAAGTCACATAACCTTGGATGTTTCGTGCTCCATCTGTGTTTATCTTCAGCCATTCTTCTGAAGGGGCCTCCAATTTAGAGTATCTCAGTCTCGTCAACATCCTAGTATTGTTTGCATTTGCTCCGGCTAATATAGCTCTGCCATTCTTGGTTTGGAGTCTCTTACTTTGTTCAAGGATGGAAGTAGATCCTAGATTCTCAACGTCGAATATACATTGGTTTTGGTGGTTCCATATGTTCCAAAGAACTGCTCCAAACATCACATCACATTGTTGATCTTCAATTACAAAGTATCCAGGTTTTGTGAGATTAACTAGTAACCATGTTCTTTTATTCATTATTAAGAACTTAGACATCTTGTCGGGACGAATCAATCTCTTCCATGTCTCCATCGCTGTCGGACATAGATAAAAGAGATGGTCGGCGGTTTCATTGCTTGAGTCACATACACCCATTTTGAGTAGTTACTCATATGTTGCCTCACACGTTCACAATCAATGAGGAGTCTCTCACCAACCAGTAGCCATAGAAATACTTTTACCCTTGGTACCCCTCAGAATTTAGCAATGTTGCTCCACAGTTTATCAGTTGTACCTGTTTCACCTCCAGTTTTAATCTCATAAGCGGATTTGACTGTAAATAATCGATTAGGGATCTATTTCCACCCTGGATAATCTATGGCTTGAACATGTACTGGAGTCATCGTGGCTATCAATCGGTACTTTGTTTCCTGAGCGAGTATGTTATCAATTGTTAGGATTATGAAGAGGCTCAAATGAACAACCGAAAGAGTGCAAAGGGCGTTAATTGACAATAATTTGATATGGGAGTATGGAGAGCAAAAGATAGAAAAATTTCGCACAAGGATTTAAAGTGGTTCGACTTATCAACCAAGTCTACATCCACTACCTTAGCTTCTCACTAAGGATTTTCTAACAAATTCACTAATTTGTTCTTTCTTATTCAAGGATAAAGAGATAACCTTTACAACTCCCTATCTTTTGATATTGCTAAGATAGAACCAAAACCCTTTTACAAAAAGGATAAAAAGAAGTAAACAATAAACCTCTTCAAGGTAGGGTATTTACAAAATTTAGTTCACAAGAACAAATATTTACGAGAGAGATAAAAATTAGATTGGAAAACTCTTCTCTTGTGTTTGATTGCTTGGATAGATGTTCTAACCCTTCTTCAAGTTTCCTCAACTTGTTTTTATATTTTGGAATGTTTTTGTGGTCGTTTCTAGCTGTTGGAGGTGTTTTGGAGCCGTTGGGGGTCAATTTTCTTGCATAATAAAGCTACCCAGAATAAGGGTATTAGTACTCCTTAAGGGAGTATCGGTACTACATTTGTTATATTTAAATCAACTAGTCGTTACTAGCCATTGAGGTCTGATGGTATCGATACTATGCCTTTGGTATCGATACTACTCTACAAAGCAGTATCGGTACCCCTTTGGGTATCGGTACCATTTTTGCATTCTAGAATTTGAGCAATACTAGTAGTATCAGTACTACCTATTGAGCAGGGATTCAAAGATGGCCATGTAACGGTATAACGGCCGTTATATCATGGTATCAGCGGCTCCTGTTACCGATATCAGTCAAAATCACGATGTGAAACAGAATCACACCCATAACGGCCGATATCGACCGCAATATAACGGGTAATGGTCGATAACGGCTATAACGGACCGATTTTCCCGTTAATTCTGTTACAACACCAAAAAAAGGGAGTGTCAGTTGAAAATGGCCACTAGCAGCAATCCGAACCCGGAGGGTTCCGATGAGAAACAAAAACGATCGGAGATATACACTTACGAGGCCCCTTGGCATGTCTACGCCATGAACTGGAGTGTCCGCCGCGACAAGAAGTATGGTGTCGCCATCAACAGTCTTCTCGAGCAGTACATTAACCACCTCGAGATTGTCCACCTCGATGACTCCAACAGAGAGATCCGATTTGACCCAAACCTCTCCTTCGACCATCCCTATCCCCAACCAAGACCATCTTCATCCCCGACAAGGTATGCCAGAAACCCAATCTTCTCGCAACCTCCTCCGACTTCCTCCGCATCTGGCGAATCTCCGATGATCACTTCTGTGTCGACCTCAAGTCTCTTCTAAATGGCAATAAGAACAGTGAGTTCTACGGCCCTGTTACCTCCTTTGACTGCAATAAAATATTAAATGTTATTGATATGTTAGAAAAATAATATAATTTTTAATTAAATTTTTAAACTTTAATAATATATTTATTTAACATAGAAATTTTAGATAAAATATCAATTTAACTTTTAAATATGGAATCTAAACCAATATTAAAGGGATTTATAATATTCTTAAGAAATTTATAAATAAATACAAAATTAATTAATGATGGTAAAAATTGTGTTTATGTATTAATAAAAGTCTATAAGTGTTACAAAATAGTCTAAAAATCTTTAAAAGTGATTTTCTATAATTATAATTGTAAATACTATATTTTTTAATAAGTTGTGCGAATTTAAAAAAAAAATTCACGTCCGCGATAACATTCGTTACGTCCGCGACCGCGATAAACGCAACGCGACCGAAATGCGGCCGCAACCGCAATTTGAATCCATACTAGTGAGTATCGATACTTCCCTTACCTTTGGTATCGGTACCATATGAACAATATCGGTACTGTTCATTAGGTACCGGTACTGTAAGAACATTATCAGTACTACTTGTCCAGAAAAACGTTTTGTGCTCAATTGCAAGCTTTAAGGAATTTGAATTATTTTTGAAAACTTTGAAAAACTTTGAACAAATTCAATTCAAGTCCAAAAACATTTTGCCTTAAATTGTTATATCAAAATATAGTTCAACAATCTCCCCCTTTTTTATATAACAAAACAATGAAAAATTGTTTTTGACAAAACTCCCCCTTAATAAAATGTTTAATGAAAAAGATACCAATTATTGAAAAATATGTGAAAATGTTCAGCTCCCCCTTTTTCATTAAGAAATTGAATTTTTCAAACCCATAGTTCTCCCCCTTTTTGTTAGATCAAAAGAACTTAACTTTAAAGTTCAAATAACTTTAGAGAGTAAGTGATAATTTTTACATTAAAACCATTTGAAAAATCAAAGCTCCCCATCAAAAAGTGCATTCCAAACAAAAATTGACTTTAAAATCTTGACACTTAAACAAAATTGAATTTCAACAAAGAGTAACAAACATGTTAGTAGCAATTGAAATTCAATATATCCAAGTCTAAAATACTTTATGCAATACCAATAATTTAAATTAAGTACATGTGAATAAAGCTTTCAAAAATGTTATGCATTTGAAAAATTTGATATCAATTGTTAGAGAGATATCTTTAACATTTAAAACACATGCATAAACATTTAAATTTAGGTCAAAAATTTAAAATTTGTAAAAACAAAGCATTTGAAAAGTTGATATCAATTGTTAGAGAGATATCATTTGCATTAAAAATCAATTTTGACCAAAATTCATTATGATTAACTTAAAATTATGAAAAATCATTAAAAATTTTAAAATGTTCATCATAAAACACTTTTCAACATACATGAGATTAAAAAAAATGCATAATCATTTAAAATCAAAACTCATGCATGCATAAATCAAATGAGCAGCCAATTAAGAAAAAATAAAAGGCTTTAAAAGAGACATTCCTTTTAGAGTGTGGCTAGAGCATATTAATTTCTTCATTTTCATAACCATTGCTCCCACATACCTACAAGAGACATTTATTTGGATATTGGTATCCAAATTGCATTGGATCCTTGGACGTTAGTTTCAATGCCCTTGTTCCCTTAGGAACACATACTTGTCTAATTTTAAAAGATTTTCTTTTCTTTATGGGACAAGTATGTTCCAAATGACCATAAAAATGACAATGTGAGCATTTTGCCATTTTTAAACATAATGAGTTGTTTTGAGAAATTAATTCTTTTTCGTTTGTTAAGCTTTCAAGCTTAACTTTTAAATCAAAATTTTCTTTTTCTAAATTATTGATTTTGACTTTTGAAGACTATAAATTATTTTTCAAAATTTCAGTTTGATTTTCAAAATCAACTTTAGTTTTCGAAACCAAATCATTTTCAACTTTGAGTTTTGAAAATAATTTCTTATTTTTGGAATTCATGGTCTCAAATTCCAAATACAACTCATTATAAGCATATTGTAACTCATCAAAAGAATGTGAATTTAAATCATTTGAGTTATTAAATCTCCTTCGATGGCCATGAGGCATAGGTTGACTACTTCATCTTCATCATTGGAGTCATCTTTATCACTCCAAGCCGCCACAAATGTCTTTTTCTTGCTTAATCACTTCTTCTTTAGGATAGGGCATTCATACTTAACATGCCCCGTTCTTTGACAATTGAAGCACACCGGGGGACCCTTCTTCTTGGTTGATTCATGCTTCACTTCCTTGGAAAACATGAATCTCTTAAACTTTTTGAAGAGCTTGGTCATCTTTTCTTCTTCATCGTCTTCATCCATCTCTTCACTTGAATCTTGATAGCCCTCATTGGTGGACTTGAAGGCAGTGTCTACCTCATTCTTCTTCTTGTTTTTCTTATCTTCATCTTATTCCACTTCATCTTATTCCACTTCTTCCTCTTCCTTTACCATCAACTCATGAGCAAGAAGAGAACCAATCAACTTGTCGAGAGTGAGAGATTTTAGGTCTCTAGCTTCGATAATCATCGTCTTCTTCGATTTCCAAGACTTTGGAAGAGAGTAGATCATCTTTCTCACAAGCTTCTCATTGAAGATAACTTCTCCAAATCCCTTGAGACCATTGACAATCACGGAAAATATATCCTTCATAGATTTGATGTCTTCATCGGGTTTCATCTTGAAATTCTTGTAGCTATGGTTGAGAAGACTTATTTTGGTTTCCCTCACCTCATCAGATCCTTCATGAGTAACTTAGAGCTTATCCCATATCTCCTTGGCATTGGAACAAGAGAAGACTCTTCCATATTCATCCGGGCTTAATGCACAAAAGAGAATGTGCATAGCCTTAGCATTGAGTTGGAACTTCTTTTTTTCTCCTTCACTCCAATCATTCATCTCGCCGGTTGGAATGGTGTAGCCTTTCATGATAGAGTTCCAAGCTCCTAGATCGTTGGCTTGAATGAAGAGCACCATCCTATTCTTCCAATAGGCATAATTTGCTCCATTGAAGTAGGATGGCTTGTTGAGCGGTTGAGAATTTTCAATATAGTAGGCACTGGAGGTTGAAGTCATTTCTTTATCGGGAATCGATAGAGCTTCTTCGAGAATCGTCTCAAGGTGGTTAAACCTTATAATGAATCAAGCTTTGATATCAATTAATAGGATTATGAAGAGGCTCAAATGAACAACCGAAAGAGTGCAAAGGGGGTTAATTGACAATAATTTGATATGGGAGTAAGGAGAGCAAAAGATAGAAAAATTTCGTACAAGG